TACGTATTGCTTTTGTAAAATTATTTTTATTCCTTTCTTTGAAAATAATTGAACCAACATCATTTTACTTTAATATTCTTAGTAATAAAAAATTAATTTACATACACTTTGCTTATTAGATTTAAGGATTAAGCAGAGGAAAAATGAATTGTATATAGAGTCCTAATATTGCATTAGATCAATTATTATTACAATGAATCTATTAAAGAAAGGATTGGATTACTTTAACACAGAAGTATTTGTTATTTCCAGGTTTGCTGAATGAAGAGATTTGTTATGGTAAGATTGGAGAGATGATTAAGAAAAGATTTTGGTGAACCATTACATTCTTTAATAATACCTGGAAAATGGATGTATTAGAAAAAGAACACGTAGAAATGTTATTTAAAAATAAAAAAAAATTTAATCTGTTTTCTTATTTTAATTTAACTTAATTTAATTTTTAATTTTATTTTAATTTTATTTTATGTTTTATTTTATGTTTTATTTATGTTTTATATTTAATTTTATATTTTATTTTTAATTTTAAATTTATTTTATTTTATTTTATTTTATTTATTTTATTTTATTTTATTTTATTTTATTTTATTTTTATTTTATTTTATTTTATTTTATTTTATTTTATTTTATTTTTATTTATTTTATTTTATTTTATTTTATTTTTATTTAGTTTATTTATTTTATTTTATTTTATTTTATATTATATTATTTTTTTTTATTTAATTTATATTTAATTTTATTTTATTTTGATTTTATTTACTTTTATTTTATTTTATATTTATTTTTTATTTTATTTTATTTGTTTTATTTTACTTTATTTTATTTTATGTTTTATTTTATTTTATTTTAAATTATATTTTTACATGGATTCTTTTTTAGAAATGATTAAAAAATACATTAAACAAATGGACACTGAAAAATTAATAGATCAACATTTATATGAAGATGAATTAGAAATATTACTCAATAATAACTTAACAGATAGTATACTTAAATTAATAAATGAGGTCATGACTAATTTAATTAAGTATGATTTTTCTGACTGTTTATTGCATATATTAGATATAAATAATATTGAATTAGATGATTATACTTGTGATAGTATGGCATTAATATTAATTGATTTAGCAAAGAATATTATGAAGGAAAGAACAGAACTTCATAAAATTACTGGAAATAATTATTAATATTTTAAATTAATTATTAATTTAATTAATTAATAATTATTTAAATTACCAATAATTATTTAAATTACCAATAATTATTAATTTTTTTATTTTATTATTAAATGAAATATTAAAAAATAATAATTTTAAATAAATATATATATAATATATTAATTTAAACATTATAATTAAGTTTATAATTATTAAATTTATTCCTTTTATTAGATAATTTATAATATGGTTAATTTATAATTTTTCTTTCCATTAACAATAATCCTCTAACCCAATTATAGCTCTTCTATATGGAACTTTATTACCTAAAACTTAAGACTTCTTTGGGTAATCTAACAAGCCTCTAATGAAGAAACAAATAATAATGATTCTGAGGTACAAGTTAGCCTAATCTACCATCCAATTTGCCTGTCGTACCATTAATCTTAATCTTTGATTCTAAAGCCTCTTTCGACTCTTCCACGCTTAACAAATTATCTCTTACTAAAGCACTACATCAATCTCAAATGACTTGTTTCTTCTTCAGCTGATTGCATTTACAGGTTAAATTTTTGAAAATAATTAAAAAATAATTTATTTATTTAATTCTTTTTACAAAAAATCTCCAACTTTTTATCTTTAAACGAATTGGTAAACAAAATAATTTAGATTAACATGACCAAGGACACTTTCCATACCTGATTTTACACCTAAAGCATCAATCAATTCTTGTGATAAATATCCTGGTTTGACATTTTTAAATTGAATTTCGTAAGAAAAAAAATGTTTAGTCAAATCATCAAAAGAGAAAAGTCTTAAAAAGGAATGTTCTTTAACAAATCATCTAATGATAAATTAAATAAATTATTTTTTAAGTATTCTGTCTAATTCTAAAAATGGTTTATTAAGTTTATAAATTGGATTTATTTTTTATATTTCCGAAGAATGGGACTGGGATGGTAATTTCTAAAGATTTAAGTTTGTTTAATAGGTTTACGTTAGAAGAATCTATATGTCTTCTTTACTGAAATGTTCTGGGGTATTTATTTCTAATTTCATTTCTCGTATTTTGATTGTCTTTAACTTTGAGTTTTGAATTTTTGGGATACTTTTTTCTTTTTGCCATGAAAAAAACAAAAACAATATTTTTGATTTGATATATTAATTTAATCTGATTTTTTTCTCTCCTTTAAGTCACTATGACTGAGTGGTTAAGGTGTCTATTAGAAATCAGGTGTGCTAGCACGTAGGTTTAAATCCTGCTGGTACGTTTTTTAAAAGTATTAAATAACTTTTTAGTAATCAATTTAAATAAAATTTTATTTTAAAGTATAGAATAATATTTATTATTTACAGTTTTAAATATTATTTAATTTTTATTATTTAAATAATATTTATTTTTATAAATTGAATTGAAAATTTTATTAAATTTAATCAGTTATTGCTTGAGTAACCAAACTTTAAAAGTGTTCACGTTAACCAAAGAAACTTTAAAGACACTCTTAGATGGATCTTCATTAGATGGTGTTCTTTCAATTCGACCCTCATTTGGTAGGAATGTTATGCATACATGAAAACACCTTTATTGACATCAGGTGAAATAAGTACCTCATCCTTTTGATTTGAATGATTGTACGATCTTAAACATTTGATGGCCTTGGGCAGCCTTGTATCTCCATGAAGCTCTCTTAGCTATTTTCTTTATGTTCACTGTTACTTCAATTGTTTTGTTTTTTGTGATTGATGAAGCCATTAGTGGGGTAAAAATTTTTAATAATTTATAAAAAAAAAAACAAAAAAAAAAAAAATAAAAAATTTTGAATTAAAATAAAAGCATAAAGAAAATTCTTTTAAAAACAATAAATTTACAATAATTTATTAAATAAAAAATAAAAATATAAATTTAATTCTGTTGAGGAGTTAATATTACTATTTAAGTTTTTGTAATAAATTAATATCTACTGAAAACTATTTATCATTTTATATTCATATTTATAATTTATTTTAGATGATGAAGAAGAACTAACAATGTTTTGAAATAAAAAAGTCAGTGTCAGGGTTAGTAATAACAAATGGTTGACACAATATTATTAAAAAATAAATTTAAATAATTTATAAAAATAAAAAAATATTAAATATTTAATAATAAAAAAACTAATAATTTTTAAAAACAATAAATTTTAAAAATAAATTTTATTCCATTAAATTATACATTTATTAAATGACTAAAAAATATATTTTAACTTAATGGATAACTATTTAATTTATTTTATTATCCATTTATTTAAAAATAAAATCAATTGCTTCATTTTTTCACATTCCCTCACAAAACTTCTTTTATCTTTAAAATTCACATAAAAAATTTCTTACCACTAATCCAACAGTTCATTCTTAAAGGTAGTAAAAATAAACTGAGTGTTCATGTAATCATTGATATTATTGATTAAACTACTTAATTTACTTCTTGTATCAGAATCTAAATTAGCATCAATCTCATCAAATATGTAAAAGGTGCAGGGTCCACTCTTTGTATTGCAAAATGAATGACAAAGCTACCACTGTCTTTGACCACCACTTAAGGAATGAGATTGTATTTATATTATTATTTAATAAAATAATTGAATTATTTTCTTTGATTAAACTATATTGAAATTTGTGTAATCTTTCTAAAAAATAATTAAACGATTCATTAATTGAATTAAATGTTAAATCAATGATTGATTCTTTTTTCTGTCTAATTCTTCTAAAAATAATTCAATTTCATTTTTAGAAATATCCAATTCATTCATTCTGGTGGTTAAATCATTCTGATGCATTTCCATTTCTTTAGTTGAATACTTCCCTTTGTAGTTTATTCCTTTGTAAACACTTTTTTCTTGAAATATTCTTTAATTCTTCTGCCATGTTTTCTTCTGTCATATCAAAATACTTAGATTTTTTATAATCTTTTTTGTACGTGCAAACAAGAAATCTTTTGTAAAATTTGATTTCTTTTTTCAATCAATACACTCTTTAAATTAGAAATCTTTTTTTATTATTTTCATTTTCTGAAGGAGTGTCACTAATTTTTATTTACTAGTTTCTTCTCTTCTTCTTTTATTTTTGTATTTCTAATTCAATTTTTTTCTAATTTACTTTTCATTTCTGATTTAATTTTTGTTAAAAAAATTTTCATCTGTTTTCTAATTGCTTTTAATTTTTTCTTTTATTTCTAAAATCCTGTTTTATGTATTTTCTTTTCAATTTCTAACCTTGTTTTTTTGTTTGGTGATTCTAAATCAAATAAATTATTTTTTATTCTTTTTGTTACTTCCTTTTTATTCATTAAATTTTCTTTTAAAAATGTTAATTTTGCCTTTTGCACTAAAAATCTTCTTCTATTTTTCATTTTTTATTCTTTGCATTGAATTAATTGCATCACTCAAATATTTATTTTTTAAGTAAATTTTTCTTTCTTCTTTTTGTTTTTTTTATTTCTTGTAAAATTTAAATTCTAAATATCTTTTTTTCGTAACCACCTGTGATAATCCCATTTCGTTATACTCCTTCTAATGTTACAATCTTAACATTGTGTTTCTTTTTTAAATTGCACTGATAATATCAGAAACTAAGTAAGTGTTGTGTAATAAATATTTTAGTAATCCTTTAAAATTTTCTGCTGTTTCTATTTGTTCCAAGGGTATTTATTTTCTCATTGATTATTTTTTCTTCATTATTTTTGCCATTGTAATGCTATAAAAGTAACCCTGTTTTTTATTAATTTAAAATAGATCAGTGGCAATATCTTCATTTTCTGCAACAACAAGTTAAAAAAATTTCTTAGAAATTACTGAGGAAACAGGGACATACAATTCTTCAGGGATGTTAAATATTCAAATACACAACCATGCACACCTGACCTCTCTTATCATTAATTAATTCTTCAGAAAATACCAAAATTAATTAAAATTAAATTTTCTATTTTTTTCATTTTCTTGAAGTCTTTTAAGTAATATCTAAATATTCTCTTCTATCCATGCCTTTTTTCTTTCTATGATACACTTTTCATATTTCTTTCATCAAATTCTTCTGTAATTTCCTTGGTAGTTTTTAATTTTTCTTCCATTTCCTTGATTTCTTTACTCACTTCTTCTTTTTCTTCGTTTGGCAAATAGAAGTATTAAATGACTTTAACAACGAACTTTCCATTTCTTTGGAAAGAAGTGCAATTTGAATTTCTTCTAATTCTTTCATATTTTTTAAGTTTTCTTCCTCTTCTTTTCATATTCTTTAATTTCTTCTAATTCTTTCATAAAAAATTCTGCTTTTTTTTCATTTCATTTTTGGTTATTTTTTAAAAATAAATTCTTTTAAATTTAAATTTAACAAATTTTCTTTTTCTAATTCAAAATTTTGTTCATTTTTTAAAAAAAGTAAAACATTTCATTTTTTCTTCTTTAAGTTCTTTTAGTTTTATTCTTAGATCTAACATTTTACTTTGTACCGTTGTCTTTTACTTCTACAAACCGATTTTGTAATTCTTTAATCTCGAATTTAATTTTTCAAGTTCTCTTCTAATAAAATCCTTTCAATAATATTCTTCTCTTCATCTAATTTCTCAATCAAAATTAATTTTCTTTGTTCTTTTTTTAATTTTCTAATTTATGATTGGTTCTTTCATTAAAAATGAAAATTTTTTTTTCATTTCTTCTGTTTCTTTTAATTGTTCTTCAAATTTCTTTTTGTCTTTTTCATAGCTCAGTTTCGAAACTTCTTTTAACAATAAAGCTCTTCTTTCGTCAGTCATAACTGATAGTTTCTCTACTCCTTGTAGCACTATGAAGTATTTACTGTCTATTGGCAGTCCTGATGATTCAAACATGAAATTTAGTTCTTCTTTGGTGAATAATTTGTCATTCAAAAATATTCTTCTTTTTTTAAAGAAATTTCTTTTTTAATTTTAAATTAGTGTCAGAGGAAATTTTTTGTCAAATTTTCAAATTTTATTTCACTTTACCTGTCAACTCAGAATTATGACTTCTTCGTAAATAAAAAGATTGCCTTTCTTCTAAAGAAGACCTGGAATTTTGATAACAAATATTTTACAGCAGAAAGTATGTTACTCTTTCCTGATCCATTAGAACCGATTATTACATTCGTGTTAGGACATATTTCCAGTAAAGAAGTGTCCTTAAAGCTTCTTACGTTGTTCAATTTTATTTCTTTTATGCGCATGGATTAATTTTATATTTTTTTTATAAATTTATTAATTTTAAATAATTAATTTATTCTTTCATTTTATAATTTGATGGTGTGCCAGTCATTCCATTATGAATATCCTCATCGTACATTCCTTCTCTAAAATACTCTACTGAATTGTATTTTACAGGTAAAACAAACCTATTATCTTCATTTTTTTCAATTATTTCTTCCTCAAATTATCAAAATTAAACTCATTTATTTCAAAATCACCTTCCCATTCTTTTTTATAGCTTTGTACCAATTTAAATGGTGTTATGACAGGAATATATGAATTATAATCAAAATAAGTAAAAAAAAGGACAGTCAATCACAACAATAATCTCTAAATATTCAAAAGCAATCAATCTTTCTAAACTAACCTCTTTTAAATAAATCAAAACTACTTCTTTTTTCTATTTTCAAAAAATTTTTAATTTGAAAACCTTTTCCTTAAATTCTACGTTTGTAAAAATATTCCAAACCTTTTCTGGGATTTAATTTTGTCAAACAAAAACAAATTCTTTTTCATTAAAAAAATCAGTTTTATCAAAAAATTTTGATTTTTTCAAAATATGGCTTGGTGTTGTTAAAAATATAAGAAAAATAATTGTAAAAGTGTTGAGAATGTGTTACAATAATTAAATCTTCTTCTTTATTCTCCTCTGCTACATTTATTTTACACTCTTTTTCAATCTCTTTTTCCAAAATTGACTCAAAAGTTGAATCAAAAATATAAATTTTTTATCATCCAAAAATTAATTCATCATTTTTGTAAATTTTTATTACATTTTTAGGGGTATGAATATAACACAATGGAGAGAATACAATTAATAAATCATATTCATTCGTATATTTTTGTTTTACAGATTATCTCAGCTGGAGAGAAAATTACTTTATTTATGTTTGGATTAATTTTTCTATAAAATCATAAATTAACACTGTTTCTTCCATTGAATCTTTATGTGGGATAATAATTAAGTTATTGATATTTTTTATTTTTTCTTCTATTTCTTCATAATTTATTTTATACATTTTTAATGGTAAAATTTAA